CAGCACACACAATTTGCTTTGCTTTAAGTAAATATTTTTCAGCTGATTTTTGTTGCTTTTATAGAAATCTTGTTCAGCGTTTTGAGTCGCCAAATAGACATCAAGGTTTTTGCACATTTTAATGTCAAAGTAAATGTGCCTCGGGGTAACACAAAGCAGAGTGGCACTGTGTGCGCTTAGCAGGCGTACGTCGGTGCCATCTATGGTGCCCAATCCTCTGCTGCAATGCCAATGAAATAGCCAAGAGTTTGTGCATGAGGTAAGCATGCATGCCGCCCATCACACAGTGCAGTGTTCAATCAATGCCCAAGTGACTTACAGTATCTCCAGGCCAAGGAAACAATCACACGTCTTGCTTGCAAATACTGACTTTCATGAAAAGTCAGTGTTTGCATATTATCAGGGACTGTTTCAACATATCTGGGCAGTGATCGGGAGTTTTGAAGGTGCTTGCTCTGTTTATCTGGGATCACCTTATCTGTGTGGGATTTCCAGCATCGGTGGTACTTGGGATTGCTCACTGATATTTCCCAGACTATGAGAACATTGTGGTGCGGGCAGTCACCTGGACTTCCCATCTCTGCAGACAAAAGGTAATGCATTGTGCTTCTACATAGTGTCTGCCATATGTGCCGCTACATGGTGTCCAGCAAGACATTTCGATCATCACTTTGGGTTCAGTTACAGGCCCAGTTCTCTTGCGCGTCCTATTCATTCAAACATTCACTTGGTCATCGAAAATGTTGTACCTGTGGTCACAAAGATAGACATGGGAGTGAGCTACCAAGCTCTGGGCTGTCCTCCGCATCCATTATTACTCAGCCAGTCACTAACCCAGAATATGTACACTACATGGGCAAACGTATGTTGACCTTCCTTCCAAATGATTGAGTTCAGAGGTTTCAAGTGAAAGGTACGGCATTCGAAGACACTGTAGACAATTGAGCTCTTCCAACTTAGTGGTAACCATTTGGTGATGGCCCTTTTCTGTTCCACCATTGCTGGGCCCCTTGTGTACAAAGCCAGCTCCATAAAGACATGGTGTGACCAGTTTGTGATAGCCACTCAACTTCCTCCACACCAGAGCCCTGTCCATAACCTTATGGAACATAGTTGTTCCACAGGAATTATTGAGTTCAAATGCACAAAGCCAGCTCCTTAAAGAGATGGTGTGATGAGTTTGTTGGAGGAACTCGGGTGGCCTTCATAGAGCTCTGACCTCAGTCCTACTGAACACCCTTTTGGATGAATTGGAACATAAATTGTGGTCAAGGTCTTCTTATCCAACATCAGTACCTGACCTCACATATGGGCACACGTTCTCATAGACACCCTTCAAAATCTTGTGCAAATCCTTCCCGGAAGAGTTGAGGATGTTGTAGATGCACAGGAAGGCCAACTTCATATTGATGGCCATGGTTTTGGAATGAGATGTCCAACAAGCTCATAACAGTGTGACGGTCAGGTGTCCACAAAACTTATGGCGGGTATAGGCATATCAAGTCTTCCAGCATATTAGGTCTTTTATGGCGGTGAAGCACGGATTGCAGGCCTGGAGCTTTCACCTTCAAAACCAAGTCGGCAATAGAAGCTGCCATTGTTCTCTATGACGGGATCACTTTAATGGCTGTACACAGGCGGAGGTCGTCTTCTTTTTAAGGAGCTAAATCCTGATTGTTGTAAAATTCTAAAGCTATAGCAGAGTCCCAGGGGGGTTGTATCCGAGTTCTAATGGCCCGATTGAGGGTATAGGCAAATGTGTATTCCAATTGGGCAAGGCCTGTGGTTTTCCTCGGACCTGGTATAGCCCAGGAGAGAGGAAAGCAGGTCGTCTGGAGGGAATTGGGTTGTCATGGATCCTTGTATTTCTTTTCCTTAATGGTCACCTGCAAGCCATCCAAATTATCAGTTTTTGGTTGGTTGACCCTTTATAAGGACTCTTTCTGAATACAAGTGATGGCAAACGTTGATCACTCAGTCAGCCATTGATCTGGAAGAAGCCTATGTGTGTTGAGAGTCGGGTAAGGTTGATATGCATAGGCTTGTCTTCGGTTATTGCCTAGATAAAAGGAAGGATGGAGATGACCGCCCTGGCTGCCATATTTCTGTCCTGAAAATAATCCCTGGATGCTAGTTCAGACCTCCTAGGCTGCTACAGTAACGGAAAGCTATTGTTGGGTAGCGCAGATCACAACTTTTATGTTTTCTCATTTTTAATGTGAATTTGACCTTTTTACATGTTGCTGGTCCATATTTATTATATTTATATATTTCTGTTATGGTCCTACATATGCAGATCTGAAAACTCTTCTGTGTTTCACCAAGATCAGCCCCTCAGATCAACAGTTGCTGAGATAAAATCTCCATCTCATAGATAATACATTGTTGTCGTTCAGTTACAGCTGACTGGTTGACTTGTATTGAGAGAGGACCAGTGTTGCATGATCGCAGCCTAATCCAGCTACAAAACGGTCTTATTGGAACACCATCGGTTTCTGCGGCAGTAAATGTGGTTGGGCGCACAGCTCCCTTGCCTTTTAATTATTTAAGCGGTTCACAGAACCTCCCAGTTTCTGTGCATTGAACTTTATTATAAATAACATATGGACTTGGCAGGGAGAGCAGGTGATGTGACGTGTTTCTCGCTATCGGGCAAAAGTGCCCATGGTGTGAAACGGCGGCTCGCATCATCTGATCTCTCTGGAAATTTGTGTGTTATTTATAATAAAGTTGGGTGGAAGCACAGTGACTGCTGTTACCGCCTCTGTAATCAGCAGGAATAAGCAGGAAGCAGAGCCTGCTTATGTAATGAACAAATGGGACTTCCTCCATGTCAATTTGATATTTAAGAGGCTGTAACAGTGGTCATCGCTAAACAATAATGGTAATGTGACTAGTCTGACTGCCTCCTGAATCACGTCCTCCGCCTCCAACTCCTGTAACGTGGCCCCAGGCTCCAACAAGTCCAATGGCATGTTCCCAACAAACCCCTATAGCATGGCCCCAGTGTCCTACAACCCCTATAGCATGGCCCCAGTGTCCTACAACCCCTATAGCATGGCTCCAGTGTCCTACAACCCCTATAGCATGTCCCAGGTCTCCAACAGCTCCTCTAGCATGTCCACAGTCTCCAACAACTCCTCTAGCATGTCCCCTGTCTCCAACAACTATAGCATGTCCCCAGTCTCCAACAACTCCTCTAGCATGTCCCCGGTCTCCGACAACTATAACATGTCCCCGGTCTCCGACAACTATAACATGTCCCCGGTCTCCGACAACTATAACATGTCCCCGGTCTCCAACTCCTCTAGCATGTCCCCCGTCTCCAACAGCTCCTATAGCATGTCCCTGGTCTCCAACTCCTATAGCATATCCCCGGTCTCCAGCAACTCCTATAGCATGTCCCCGGTCTCCAGCAACTCCTATAGCATGTCCCCGGTCTCCAGCAACTCCTATAGCATGTCCCCGGTCTCCAGCAACTCCTATAGCATGTCCCCGGTCTCCAACAAGTCCTATAGCATGTCCCCGGTCTCCAACAAGACCTATAGCATGTCCCCGGTCTCCAACAAGTCCTATAGCATGTCCCCGGTCTCCAACAAGACCTATAGCATGTCCCCGGTCTCCAACAAGTCCTATAGCATGTCCCCGGTCTCCAACAAGTCCTATAGCATGTCTGCAGTCTGACGGCTTTCTGTAACATTACATTCCCTGAGTATTATATGCGGCTGATTGGTGATAGTAAATTTTCATCATCGCAATAGCTGAGGGGAAATCTTTCAATGGGGACACCTGTTCCAGTGAGAGCTGTCTGAGGGGACTTACCCTCACTTTGTAGAGATCTCCTCTCACTTCCTGTTGCATCTCTAGGACAGGAAATGAAGGGAAATTTCCAAAATGAGACACACAGCCAAAAAAATAACCCTACCCAATAATAATTTTCGATCTTTTTTTTTAGCCTTGTACGTAAGAAAACTGCTATTAAGTATTTGAAACAGGTTGAATATTAAATGTAATGTATACAAATAAATTTAAGTGAGAGTTGGATATCCTGTGTTTTTTTTTTTTTCTTGGTGACTTTTATAATGGAAGGAAGTGTCTGTGTGTACAGAACTGTCCCATAAAATGGGTTCTAATTAAATCCTAAATCTAACCATCCCGTCTCTCTTCCCCAGCTGCAGTGGGTCCCTCCTCCGTGGGAAGTGCTGGCGGTATCCCGCGGGGGGCTCCCCCTGGCCCTCGCCATGCCGTCCAACGCCCGGGCCGGCAGTCTGAAGGACCCCGAGGTAGCCGAGCTTTTCTTCAAGGATGACCCGGAGAAGCTGTTCGCCGACCTGCGGGAGATCGGACACGGCAGCTTTGGCGCCGTCTACTTCGTGAGTACCGGACTATGACAATATGTAACATTGATCAAACCTTTGCTTTTGCTTTCCAACCTAAATGGGGGGAACATTGGTCACACCAACGTTTGGGTTTTGCCCAAGGGGGGATGGATGTCCCGAGGTGTCAGCCTGGGTGTTTGTGTGTTGGGTGGTGATAGAAGTTGGCGCCACCCCACCCATCCCATAGGCTGCCTCATTGTGAGGACGCTCCTGTTTGCCATTCAAATATTTTAATAAAAAATGTCAGTGTATAGGTCCTACAGTGGGACCGCAGCCAAAACTTTTGTAGTTTTAAATACTGAAAGCTGAACTCCAGGGAGATATAAAAGATATATTAATGCAGCTCTGTATTCATTGATACATTAAATGTATGTTCTTGTAAATGCAGCGATTGTAGAGCCGGTCATACCAAATCCTGCTGACTCGGCTGTGATTCAAGCAGTGGGTGGCTGTGGCGGGCACCGCTCCATTTGACTGTTGTCGAAGGAGCCGGGCAGAAGTTGTCAGGTAAATGGGGAATGTGGCCCCAGTTTGGGTATTCTGCCAGCTGCAGGCGCTGGCTGTTGGAATACAATAGCCCGGCGGTGGGAAGATTCCTCCTTCCATGCTGTTTAGTGGGGTTGGGGGAATTCATTGTTCTTGTTCAGCCCACGGGGAAGCCAATCAGGGGTATTGAATGCAGACAAGAGGCATGATAATAAGGCGTGTGATCAGAGGGATGACCTTATCAGTCTGCTGCTTCTCCTTTCACTGTCTAGTCAGCAGGCTGGGGGGCATGGAAATGATACCACTGTATTCAGTAAGAAGTGCTGATATCCATCTGTCTATGATGGTATAGATCAGGGCTAGGCACACTCTGGTCCTCCAGCTGTGCATTGCAAGCCTCTGACAGCCGCCGGCAGGACCCCCAGAGGCAGTTGCATGGGATTTGTAGTTTCACCACAGCTGGCGTTTGCCTACCCCTGGCATAGATGGAGAGAAATACAAATCCTTTGGTCAGTCACTCGGTTAGATTGGAGTGCAGCTTTTTTAAATGGACCTCAAACTATTAGTTTTCCCTAAAATGAATATCGTGTAGGTAGGCCATCAGTTTCAGGGAAATCTTGTCGTTTTGAGATCTTCCATTGGATCTGATATTGGGGCCACTCGGCTGCCCAGCAAAGCTGCTGAAAGGTAAGAGATCTCCATTCTGTGTTCTTACTCGCCATAGTGTATCTATGAAGGAGCGAGGTTGTCACCCTAGGACAGGACTACAGAACAACTCCTGTGTTTTGGAGACAAGGATGTGGGGTTTCTGAAGCCCTAACACACTAGGGTGGCTTGCTTACTTACAGTACTCAATTCTTACTCACTGTGGAAGGGCAGTGTTGTCACCCTGAGGCCCCGTTCACACTGAGCGATTTATCGCGCGGTAATTCCGCGATATCGCGTCTGTTTACCGCGCGATATCGCTCTCCAATGCTTGGCAATGGGGCAAAGGGTCCTGCTGTCGCGGGTCGTGCGTCGCTACAGCATGACCCTTTTTGGAGCAGATTTTGCCGTGATGCAATGCTTTTCAATGCAAGCATTTGCTCGATATGGCGCAAAATGAAAATCGCGCGACTTGCGAATCGCGCAGTGTGAATGGAGCCTAAGTCAGGAAGTGTGTTCAGAATACAGAACACCTCATATTTATTTCTATATTTCACCAAAAAAAAGGGAAATTTTGGGGGGGTTTTTCAGATGTTGCATGACTTTCCTGACTGGTGTTGGTTTTCCTTTAATTTCTTTCTCCCCCTCTTCTCTCTTTCTCCCCCTCTTCTCTCTTTCTCCCCCTCCTCAGGCCCGAGATGTGCGCAATAATGAGGTCGTTGCCATTAAGAAGATGTCGTATAGCGGCAAGCAGTCTAACGAGGTGGGTGATGTCTGCCATTGTTCTGGCCCTCACGTGAAGCGGAGACCATGTTTCTCTTTTATAACCGGTTCTCTTTCTGTTCCCAGAAATGGCAGGACATCATAAAAGAGGTGAAGTTTCTGCAGAAGCTGCGACACCCCAACACTATCGAATATAAAGGATGTTACCTACGGGAGCACACCGCCTGGGTGAGCGCACTTTACCTTTCCGCCAGGAGAGGGCAGCGGTCGAGTTGCCTATATATTAAAGGGCCAGGCTACCCTGGATTCATTGGTTCTCATAAGCAAGGTGTTAAGAGTGTCCTTGGATCAGAAGAGATGTGAAGAATCAGTTCACCTCGTTGTTTCCTAAACGATTTGTAAATTCATATATTAGTATGAGCTTTTAACCCTTGCCGTGCCAGGGGGAAGTAGCCACTGCAAGGGCTTGAGCCCAGAATGGGGCTTTAAGACTTATTGGGACTTGCATGTGCACAGTGATTAGCTGGACCCGTGAATTTTCAGTACAGCTCTATACACGGAGCAGTCTTGTCTGTGCAGAAGCTCGGGTACATGTAACGCTGAGTCTCTTTTGTGATTGCTTTGTGTGGGAGGCTGTACAGCACACTGTGTATACAGAAAAAGCCATCACAAAAGGCCCCCTGCGGGCTGCCCGCGTCACTGCCAAACGCCCCCTCTTCCTCTCCAACACGGCCATCACCCACTCACCTCTGGCCTAATACAGCCCCTGTGTCATGTGACCAGCCGCTTAATCTGTCGCCTGATTTATATTCTGGATCTTTATTTTGTTGTTCCTCTTCATGCTGCCCCTGATCACCCCTTCATGCTGCCCCCCCTGATCACCCCTTCATGCTGCCCCCCCTGATCACCCCTTCATGCTGCCCCCCCTGATCACCCCTTCATGCTGCCCCCCCTGATCACCCCTTCATGCTGCCCCCCCTGATCAGCCTTATTGCTACCAAGCAAACAAAAAGAAAGATCAGTATGTTTGTGTGCTCAGCTTTGCCATGTCGTGTTCATATCACCACCACCCACAGCTATGACCTGCAGATTAGGAAAAGCCATGCACAGCTCCTAATGTATATCTGTTAGAGGTGCGGGCCCCCCATAAACAGAGTGTTTGTTTTCTGAAATAGAACTTTTATGTGGATTAATTATAAATAGTTCTTAGTGGCTCTTTCCCTAAATCTTCTCTAGCAAACTGGAAACTGATGAGAAATGTTTGAGATACCTCCGCTAACATGATTTATCTCTTCTTTTCTTCTTTTTCCTCCCCATCTTCTGTCTCTCTCCATTTTGCCCCTCTCCCTGTCTCCTTTTCCTCTACCTTCTCCCCACCCTCCTTTTTCATCCTCCTCTCCTCTTTTCCTCTCCCTCTCCTTTCTTTCCCCCATCTCTCTTTTCCTAACCCTCCTCTCCCTCTTCTTCCTACCCTCTCCCTCTTCTTCCTACCCTCTCCCTCTTCTTCCTACCCTCTCCCTCTTTCTCCCTTCCCTCTCCTCCCTTCCCACCACCTTATCTTTTTGCTCTTTTCTATCTTTTCCACTCTCAGCTGGTGATGGAGTACTGCCTTGGATCCGCTTCCGATCTCCTGGAGGGTGAGTGTCATATCCTGCCGGCGTGTATTATAGTGGGGTTTTCTTCTTCCTACCCTCTCCCTCTTCTTCCTACCCTCTCCCTCTTCTTCCTACCCTCTCCCTCTTCTTCCTACCCTCTCCCTCTTCTTCCTACCCTCTCCCTCTTCTTCCTACCCTCTCCCTCTTCTTCCTACCCTCTCCCTCTTCTTCCTACCCTCTCCCTCTTCTTCCTACCCTCTCCCTCTTCTTCCTACCCTCTCCCTCTTCTTCCTACCCTCTCCCTCTTTCTCCCTTCCCTCTCCTCCCTTCCCACCACCTTATCTTTTTGCTCTTTTCTATCTTTTCCACTCTCAGCTGGTGATGGAGTACTGCCTTGGATCCGCTTCCGATCTCCTGGAGGGTGAGTGTCATATCCTGCCGGGGTGTATTATAGTGGTGTTCTCCATTATTATGATGATAGGTGGTGTGGTCCCCCTGCACTCAGTTTAGACATACGGGATGATGTCTGTCTGATGGGCGATTGAGGGACAAGTGAGTGTCTTTAGTCAGCACAGACTATTAGAACCTCTGCCGCATGTCACAAGCACAGAGATGTACACGTCCTGTACTAGATCTCTTTGTCATTATTAAGGAAAAATAAAATAGATCAGAGAACTCCTAAAGTTCTAAGTGTGATCACATCGGAACTTCCTCTATTCACGGTACTCTGCATTTAAAGTGTATCCGGTCAGAGAACACATCTGTAATAGCTGCACATTTCCTCATGTCTTGTCTCTTACACCCTGCTGCAAGTACAGAAGCAATATCTCTTAATCTACCAGAAATCCAGTGAGTTAGTAACTTCCTGTAGATCAGTGGTTCTCAACCTGTGGGTCGGGACCCCTTCGGGGGTCGAATGACAATTTGCCAGGGGTCGCCGGAAGTCTCCCACTATTAGATAGCTATTAGATTATCATCATTATTATTAATAATAAAAGCTGACACCCTCGGATTGCGTTATATGGTTTGCCATTTTAGCTGTTAACAGCAGTGGTTCTCAACCTGTGGGTCGCTGTGTGATTTCTGCTGTGCTCGGTGAGAGTCCTCCTCAGCCCTCTCCTAGCGCAGCAGTGTCAGTTCTCCCGCCACGCCGCCAGATGTCGCTGCAGCAGCCGCGTCAACCCTAACTTTTACCGTTGGGGGGGGGGTCACCACAACTTGGCAAATGTTACCAAGGGGTCCCGGCCCTAGAAAGGTTGAGAACCACTGCTGTAGATTGACATTTTCCTGGAGTTCAGTTGTTAAGTCTTTTGTATTGCATGCTTTGAGTTCTTTTTATGCCTCCTGATGCCCCTCTTATGTATCTGCAGTGCACAAGAAACCCCTCCAGGAAGTGGAGATTGCTGCTATTACCCATGGTGCACTCCAAGGCCTGGCCTACCTCCATAACCACAACATGATACATAGGTGAGTCAGTAATGCCGCCTTTCCTCCCTGATCCCTGTACTGTTATGATGGGATTCTTTTGCATTGATCACCTTGTGTCTTCTACAGAGATGTGAAGGCTGGAAACATTCTCCTGACAGAGCCAGGCCTGGTAAAGCTCGGGGATTTCGGCTCTGCTTCTATAGTAGCTCCAGCCAATTCCTTTGTGGGGACGCCATACTGGTAAGTGAAACATCCAGTGCCGTGGATCATTCTTTTGGGCCTGATAATATGTAGAGGGCTGGGG